GGGGGGGGGGGGGGGGGGGCGGCACAAGGCCAGAGGCCTCGCAATCCATCCATCCAACGCGCGCCGGTGTTGGCTACCATAAAGAGGCGGCCCCCCCCCAATATGGGGCCCGGGTCGAGTGAGGTGGCAGGACCGAATAGCTTTTGTACATGTGATGACCCTGGATCAGGCGGCGCCGGGGCGGGCACATGGCGCCCCCGGGCGCGCTGAGATCGGAAAACACCGCGCACACACACTCGCCAAGAGACATGCACCAGGAGAGAGTACCGCCGCCCTCCGCCCCCGCCTCGTGTGGATGAAGCAAAAAAGCAGGACGCAGCAGATGACAGACCGCGGCTTCCCCCCCCCTCCGCGCTCGCGTCTGAAATGCGCCCGGAGAAGAGGATGTGCGGCGGCGTCCCTCCCCGACCCCCGTCTGCACAGCACATTGAACGCGATGTGCGCGCACAACACGGCCCCTGCGCCCCCTCTCTCGTCACATCGAGTGCGTGCGCGCACAAAGCAAGAAAAAGACAGGCAGAGGAAGCTTCAATTATTAAATTAAAAAGGGGGAGTGTTGTCACTTTTGTGGGAGAGTGGGGGATTCAGAATATGCCCAAATGTTACAGGCAGTTTCATCACTTGGAATTAAGAAGACCGTCGTGATTTATCATCATTTACACCACACACACACGCAGGGACACATGCTCACGCGCATGCACACACCCACAAGAAGGGAAGGGAGGGGGAGAAGAGGAAGACGCGGGAAGGAGTTCAATTCTTAACCATAGGCAGAGATGCACGGGCACAGCTAGGCGGCGCGGACTCTACAAATGGAAAGAAGAAGGACAGGGAAAGGAGGAGAGGGGAGTGTTAGGAGGAGAGAGAGGGGAGCGGGAAACGCGGAGAAAGGGGCAAAAGGAGGTGGATTCAGTCACTAAAAAAGATGTCTTCATGAACTCTGACATATGCTTGTCAAGTGAACATCACTATGGGCCCCCCCTGGGGAAAGGAAGAGGAGAGGGACGCGACGCACCCGAAAAGAGCACAGGCCTCGAGTCCCGGAAGGGGGGAGAGAACGCGCGCCACATCGCACAGCCACACATGTCCATCGGAAGGAGGTGGGCGGCTATAGGAGGGATGGAGGGAGGAGGGGCGAAAGTGTTAGGGCGGTGGTGGGGGCAGAAAGAGAGGGAGGAGGGAGGAGGAGGGAACCCCTTCAGGGCCAAATGAAACCAACATTACGGAACGTAAATCTGACTCGTCATCGAACATCATCGGGAGATAGGTGGAAAAAAGGGAGGGGGAGGGTGAAGAGGAGGGGGGAACATACCAAGAGATGTGTGCACACAGGCAGCCACACAGCACGACGACGACCTCGGCGCGGATGGGGGGAGAGAGAGAGAAACACCCCACGCTTGAGGGGAGGCTGTGTGATCGCGAAAAGGAGAGACGCAAATAGGGGGGG